AAACAATTTTCATATTCACCTATATTAATTACAATTATTCTACGACCGGGGACTGGAAAAACAATTTATAAAATATGCGTATACCTACAATAACACATTTTTCGTGACATTAAATATTTATCTTAATTCTTAAAAGTAAATTTAAGCCCCAAAAGAATATGAAAACAAATTTACTTTAAACATCGATTCTTTCGGCTGAATCCGTTACGTGTGTTCACTGCGAGGCTGACGAGGAACATCTCCATAATATACAGAACTTAAAATATTGTGATTGATGAAAAATAAAATTATACGGAACGCAGTAAGTTTTTTGCTCATAACGGCTTTGCTTATTGAAATTTTGGAATTTTTAATGACGACTGTGTCCTCTGCAATGAATTGGAAATTTGCCATGGAATATAAATGATAGATATTATACTAGGTACGTGAATAAGATGAATCCACGGATATCATATAGGTACCGCAACTTTTTATGTCAAAGAGTTCCGTGTTAAGGAACAATATTTGTTCGTTGAAATTGTATATTATGACAAAAATCAAAATAGTTTATAATTTTGAATTTCAATTATAATAATATTAAATATGATATATTTTAATTATTATTTTCGTTTCTTAATTTAATTATTTATTAATATGGTGAATATATATCAGAAGTACAAGCATATTTTTATAAAAGCATAATATTGTATTTTAAAAATCATTAAATGAAAATGTGATTCCTGGATTTTAGAGTTAACATAAAGATATACAGTAGGTACCTAAGTACATTAAATTTACAGTACCTACCATTGATACCAACTAGATTTGTAATATTCCAAGTCTAACATTTTCTACGAATATATACTGCTGATCACAAAATTATTAATTATTATTTATATTATTAATTGTATCGGCCATCGGGTAGGTACCTACCTATAATTTATATTTTAGATTCTGAGCGGAGCGATGAATATTTTGATTTTACTATGACGTGTATTTAATTTTTAAATTTGTTTGTTATTATTTCTTTTTTGTGTTTGATGCGTAGGTACACGATAAGTAGGTACCTAGGTAGTCAAAATAAACCTTCATGTTCCATGCATAATATAATTTATAGGTACTCTGTATGTAATCAATGATCATAGTTTTATTTTTAAGTTTCTTTGTAGGTATTTAGTAAATAATAATATAGGAAATTGTATTTTCGAACATTAATTTTTTGTTTGTATTAAATACTTTCACCATAATATAGAACTAAAATTGTCATTTATCGTTAAAACAACAAATTTTGTGAAAAATTCAATTTTGGTAGGTAAGTGTTTTGTGTAGGCATAATAAATGTTACATTAAAATTTAAAAAATTCAAAAAATTACATTAATTGGAATTTGGATTATTAATTAGAATATAGGTACCTACTAGGTACCTACAGTTTCCAGATCCTACTACAACATTACGTTATATTATGTTTTTAATTATTAAAATGTCTAAAAAGTAAACGTAAATCCCAAAATAATATGAAATTATGAAAACAAACTTACGCTGAAACATCGACTCTCCCGGTGAAACCTAGCTAGAGTGCATCATCAACAATGCAAACGTCCAGTACGTGACGCCACCGAAGAAACAGCTATCTTCATCTCGTTCTGAACTGTAACTTGAAATTATCGAAAAATTTTATGAAAATTACCTGAACTAACGAAATGTGCGAATTCGTGTTAAAACTTACATAATAATTAATAATATAATACGGCTCAACGAACTATCTGACCATATTGATGGCTTATTATTTTTTTTTTCACTAAAATTATTAGAATTGTTAATCGTCGCGGACGAATGCCGACAATTGGCGATTGCCATAGATGATATAAAATATATTTTTTAATATGATAAATCCATAGAACTTCTACACTCAGCACATAAACGGTCTATTGATAAACCACACGGTGTCTTTTACAGAAATGATTGTGGTCTGCAATGTATTCTTGTTTTCTATTTCAGTTAATTATCGCATAATACTAAATTTAACCAAACAAATTAGTCCGCAAATTTATAGACATAACAAATATATAATATAAATTTATTATTTACAGTAGTTTATATCTGTGATAGACACTCTAATATCTAATGCATTCTCCCGCCGGAGACCCAGTTCAGGGGAAGTTATATTTTTACCTACAAATTTATAAACTAAAAGTGGTTGGGGCAAGAAACTTTATGATTTATAAACTGATAAATAATTTACAAAATAATTTTCTCATGACTATAAATAACGCAAAAAGAGTCAAAATAGTTTGAAAATTTTAAAATGTATGGAAAATTCAAGTATAAATATTTTTTACTCTTTTTGTTACAGGTGGAAAAACTTATGTAACTTCTTCTATTTAACTTACCCTACCAATAATATCACTATATAAAATAATTAAAAGTGATAATTTGAAGACAATTTCTTAAAACCCTAGAATATTTTTTTAATTTAGTGTCTAAACCATATAGTTTAGCACCCAAGCAAATTTTTTTTTTTTTTTTGGAAACCTATGATTTGCAACCAGACATATGTCTTATACATAGACTGACATACCGTCACTGCTCAGAATCGTTTTTCTTATACAATGATATAATATCATTGAATTCAAATTTAATAGCATCCATTATACAGTGACCCAATTGTAACCTACTGTACAGCAGAGCGACATCCACTTACCAACCTTTTTTTTTTGTGACTGACGACTGTATACCTACCTATTACCTAGGTAGTAGGTAATGTTAATTGTTAATATATACATGATATTATGAAAAGTATTCGAAATAATGCTTCAACTTTCAACTCAAGCATCTTTTCTGATAGAGAAGTGGATATAGTTTGTACTTTTAAGAGTTCAAAATCCCCAGTACCTAGTAAAAAGCAAAAAAATGATAAGAATGGTAAATTTACGCAAAATGTTTTGCAAAAAACGATTAAATATTTCAGTGCAACTCAAAAACCAATAACACTTGCAATTTTCACCAAATATTTATATTATCATTTACCATGTATGGTAACATTTTCTAAATATTTGTACTCTTTTTGAAGCTATTTGCTTTGAAAATTTTATATTCTGAGCGGAGCGAGGAAGCTAGAGGTTTTACAATGGTGTTTATTATTATTATTATTATTATTTTTATATCCTTTATACAATATTTCTACCAGGAGTGCTTCGATTCCAACACATAATACCTTATCCTTTTAGCAAATTGGATCGAGATGGTACTTTAGAGAGGTCATTTTTCGATTTTATCAATAATTATTTAATGCCACAGGAAAAACCACCGAAAAATTACGAAAAATCGCTAAAAATGGGATTTTAATTTCTAATGAGTTGTTTATCACCATAGAAACGAATAAAAAAATAACAATATTATAATATTAATTCCAACTTCCATGATATAATAAATAATAACAATATAAAATATCCAGACTGACAAACCGTTTACGTTCAGAATCGTTTTTCTTATACAATGATATTATTACCTACCTATATCATTGAATTCAAGTTGACACAATGTCTCCGCTCAGAATAGTTTTTCGTACGATATTGGTTTATCATTGAATTCAAGTATAACACATCTATTACACATTTACACTAATAAAGGTACTCGAAAACCACTGTACAACAGAGCGGTACCTACCCACTTGTTTACCTTTATACAGCTAACAATTGAAAATTTAAAAAAAGGTAAATAGGTACCTCATAAAATAGGTCATACATTCACACTGTAAGCAAAAATTCTAAAAATTATATTAACAGTTTTTTTTTCATATTTTTTTAAGTTTAAATTTAAATGAAATTAAATAATTAAACAAAGAATAACGATTTTAGTTATTTTATTGTAATTTAAATATATTATTCGTGAGTTAAATTAAAGATGATTACTTTTAAAGTAGGTAGGTATATTATAATGTTTTATATACACATGACATTTAAAAACGCAATGTTTTTGGTAAAAATAATTCAACCTACCGTATTACCTTGTACATTGCTACTGATAGTAAAATAAAATAAATTACTTTAATAGCAATTTAATCTACAAAAAATAATGTTAAGCTGATTGGAACTTATGAACTCGGCACTCCACAGCCAATCAATCAATCTTGATATTTATAAAAATCATTCATTAACAAAATTTAACTAATGACATTGATTTATATTAAAATGTATATATCATAATTATGATTTATGACTAATGAGTAATGTGTACAGTAAAATAAACTATTAATTTACTGTCTATATAAAAGTACAATTTAAATAATATATACATATGTATACATTATACATCAATTTTTACTAGTATTGCTTATCATTTCTGTTAAATAAACTAAAAAAAATCAATGTTTTTTCAATTAAAAACCCAATAGAACTATTTTATTATATTATAACCAACCAAAAAGTACGAATAAATAATAGTTTGGTACATTTTTATTATCAAAATATGAATGGAAAGACAATATGCAACTACTGACTAGAAATAATTACAAGTCTAACATAATATATGTATGTAATATTGTAGGTAGATTTCATTATTTTATAATCATAATCATAATTATGTAATTTGTTAATTCTATAACTCTAATAATATACTATATAATTATGTCTTGATGACCTGATAATTTATTTTACAATTTAATGTATGTTTTCAAATAGGTAGTCAGGGTACTCTAACTATGTAAAATCAGATGTAGTGAAATTATTAATGATTATACAGTGGTATAATAGTAAAACAGAAAATAATATAAGTGATATTTATAGTTTTACATCAACAAGAGAAAAACAATTTTATGTCACAACAATGACCTATATGAATTCAGTTTAGTGACTCTAGAAAAAGAAGGATATTATATCATGTGGTTTACAATTCAAGAACGAGTGCCACATGCTTCCTTGTAGTTGGAAGCATTGAAAGTGGTAAAATAATCATCATGTATGAACCTAATAGCAGACTCAATTGGGCAGAGGTAAATTGATGAGCTAGTCCAGCTGCCAGCACGGGTTTTACAAAAGGCCACTGATCGGGTCACATCTTTACCATTGAAAATTACTCTAAAGTAAAAGTCCCTACCGGGGTATGTGGTATCAACTGTGTTGTTTCGATATACCTCAAATACTAGACGGGAAGCATAGTGCGGTGACATAGTTTGGGCACTTAGAACTCCAAAAGCTGCTAAAAGGTATTGAGCAGTCAAGTCGTGACCTGAGTATAGGACCAGACGAGGTTTACTTTCGGATACCATCTTCAACAAGTTCATAGCAATATTCAGCGCAAAACCATATGACTTTAGTAGTCCATATTTTCGCAACAGCCCATGTTTTGCATAATGTTCCAAGTCCCAGTCAATGTAGTTGAAAAGCTGCTCTACATTGTCACGTGTTATACAATCATTCTGAAAGCAAGGAAGTGGTGCACCATGGCACACATATGTCATAATAGAATCCCTAAGTAAGTAAGGGTCTACCCGTACACTACTGGACATCAGATGCACTACATTATGAATGCGTTTGAGCATTTTTTCTATTGCTCTACGGCCCTTTAATCGTCTTGCAGATGACTGTTTTATTTTCATTTGTAAGCTATTAACATTGAAACAGGCACAATGATCAAAACAATAGCTATAACTATCACTCTCCTTGAACGTGACTTTGGACAATACATCTGGTGACAGAATCGCATACATGAATGCCAATGCACTTTGGAATGTGCGTCTGTACTTAGTGCTATATATTATTATGTCATCAGAATTAGAAACACTAAGCAAAGGGTAGTACACAGATCGCAACGTTCGTCCAAGCTTCAGCATTTGGGATACACCAATTGGGGTGAGTTGACTTATGGAACAATTGTTTTGTGGTGGATATAATGGGTACCCATGAAAAGGACCTAAAAACTGTAATGACATGTTGAAGAATATGTTTTGCAAGAATTTGGTATAATCATTATACTCCTGATCAGGATCCATGCCGCAGTCTATATCAGCCATGTTTCGAACATGATTCATTGGTCCACGATCTCCATGTCTAGTCAGAATTATTACTCCTTGGATTGTAAGACTGTTGTTTAGCAAGCCTTTAAAAATAGATAGTAGAATAGTAAAATTAAGTAGTGTGTAATAAACATTGTTTGGTTATATATAAATACCAATATCTCCTTCATCACCACGTTCGATCATGTGGGGAGGATTGCAAACTTTAGTAAGTTCATTGTAATCGATTCTGGACACTGTTCTTTTATATTTGTGTGCAGAGTTTTCGGATGTGTTCACAGTCTTATTATCAGGTACAGGGCGATCAGAAATCTTGAAATACAACACTAAAACAGTTGAGACAGTTTTAAGATTAAATGCATAATAGATCTATAAACATACCGTTAAAATGTCACCTGGAAAAAGGATGCACAGCCATATGATCAAGTAGACTAAATATCTATGGCGGGTCATATTTCTGACGGTCACGCTCTGGACGTTTGACATGACAGTTTATTCAAGTTTGCAGTTGTTTCCAGCTTTGGAACATTGGCTTACCACTAATACATGCGTTCACATAGTTTTTATTGTCGCTTCACTTTCGACGAAAGTAAGTTAGGTATGTTGTCAGTTTCCAATCATTCGCATTACCTAGTTGGCTTACAGGCTGTCCCGCCTTTCCTTGCACGAGGACCATATTCGGTATACAGATATTGTCAACAAGTTCATTACATGCCGTGCGATTACCTTTCAGAGTTCTTCTTTAAAGATAGGTAGCTAGAACCAACTTTACATTTTTACTAAAGTAGGTAAGTACCTCTTAAGCTCAGAGGCAGGTACATTGTGTTACTCAGAATTAAGATTGAAAATAAGAATTTGCATTTTAAAATACGAAATAATATGCATTATGCTCACGTGACACGCATAGATATTAGAATTTAGATGGATATTGTTTTTAATTAATTATTAGATATTAACAATAACATATTGAAAAAACTGTGTAAAATATTATAAATCAAGAGTTGTGGAATCGAGATAACTGTTGTTGTTTTTGTGAATAGATTCCTACACGAACTACTAGCACAGAATTATAATATCTTAAATCGAGACTACAACTCTACAAGATAAATTATATCTTAGTCCGTGGTGTTTACCGTCTTATCAAAAGTGATAACTGGCAAATATACTGATGACGGGTCACGGGAAGGGAATACGAGTACGAGTTTACGACCATAAACATAAATATTTATATAAGTAGGTACCTATTAATATATTATTATATTATTGTACTTTCACTGGCATTAATTATTTGTTCGTTGTTAAATTACTTTTTATTATTTTCATATTATTCTTAAAATCTTACCTATCGGTAGTCATTATTGTTCTTAATTTTTATTGTTACATTTTAATCAGTATTCAGTAGTAGAAGTCGCATAGAAAACTGCAACATTTCTATTTGTTATAAGTTATAACCAATTCTTTAGCCGAGATCTAGCACCATATAATATCTAGGTACTTATAAATATCAAATTTCAACCTTACGTACATTATACCTTTTACTCATAAGGTAGGTAAATCAAGGTCTATGCTTACATGACATTCATGGATTTAAATTCAATAGATTGTGTTTGTCTAAAATAAAAAAAAACATTAGTAGATACTCTAATCTTATATTAATAAACAGTATACCTAATTATATTAAAATACCAAAAAAGTAAATACAAATACACAACTATAATGTACAGTGTTTTAATAATGTTTTAAATATGCGGTTATTATGTGGCTTTCTTCAAAGACTGTCAAAATATCTATAAATTAGCGCCATAGTTGAGAACATTAAATATTTCCTTTATATTCCCCTTGTAAAGGGATTCACTATATGAGCCAATGTTTTTTGTTTTCTAATTTGAAATGGTGGTTATAAGGACTTATTTTCATTGTAAAATACAATTTTGGTTTATGAATGTGTATTTAAAATAAAAATGAAGGTACCTGCCATTTATTATAACTTTTTTTTTTGTCTCAGACTAAATCAAGATCAGAAAAAGATTTATGAAGTATGAATCAAAACAAAATGAATAATATTGCTATACTTCCTGATTACCTGGAAATAAATTACAGGAGCAATCATTATAAACGTAAGTATTCAAATAATTAGAGTATTGTGTAATTGAATAATACTGTTTGAAATTTTTGCCCTATCCATCAGATGCTCAAGATGTATTAAACAGTATTATTTGGTGTTCTATTTGTAATTCAGACTTGAAACAGAATATCATCACAAATAAAAAAATAATGCTCCATAAAAAGTTTTTATGTCTTTGTTGTAAAGTAAGTGTTTGCTCAATGAATTTAATTAACTACCCATAATTATTGTTCATTAATACTAAGTATGAAATTCAAAATATGTACACATTTAAAAATCAACAATCATTATGTATTTAATAAGTTTATTGTCATGATTGAGTATTTTAAAAGTTCTCATCAAACGACAAACATAAAACTGTATAAAATGTATTTTTAAGTTGCAAATTTCTGGAATGTCTTTTGAAATAATGAAAATCAGAGTAAATTAATTAAAACTATTTAAAAATATATTTATTTTTACAGAACTGTTTTGAAAAATTATCAGATTCAATAAATGGATGTATATTATGCTCGCTCAAAACCAAACTTAAGACATGCAAGATATGTAACAGCAATATGTGCAAGGTAAATTATTTTAATTGATCATGAATTTTCTATTTCCTTTTTAATGCTAACAACTAACTATACTTTTTAACCTATCAAAAACAAATTTAATAATCCTTTAAAATTAAAAAAACCAATATAAATTATAATTTATAAGAGCTATGCATTTTTACACTAGGGTTGAAATGTGTCCAAGTTCCCCGGCTTATAACTTTGGTCCCAATAATTAGATCGGACCCAGCGTAAACAGGATACTGTAGTTCAAAATTCTAATTTTAAAATTATTTTTATTTTAGTGAACTAGGCGAAATCAAATTTTGCCGCCCCTAATAATATAATATTATCAGTATTTTGAAAATGCCGCCCTCTTACTAAAGTGCTGCTTATGTGCCGCCCTAGGCGTGGGCCTATGTCGCCTACCCCTTGAGCCGGGCCTGATTACATTTTTTTTAAGTATTGTACTGATTGAAACTAATGTGTTGGAAAGAAATCAGAATTTCAAGAATACACATTAAAGGAAAACTACAGCTACCTAAATAGGTCAAAGTGTAAATGAAATAAATACATTTTATTATATGATAATAATGAATAACAAACATAGGTATTTATTTTTATGAGAAGTCTAAGTCCGATACAGGTCTGTATGTGTCACTAGTATACTGTATATGTACCTTCTTGAACCCTCAAAATTAATACAATACCTATCAATACACTCCAATTTCTTCCTTGAATTTTTTGATAAAATATATTATGTATTTATAAGTATATTTTAATATAACCCAATAGGCAATATTTTATGTTAAATATAATATGAAAATAATTAATAATAACAATTTATAATCCAGCTATGTGGGTTATACAGTAATTTAAATAATAATTTATAAAGCAACAAATAGAAGTTTGTTTATATTAATAAAAATAAGGTAATTTATTATTATGCACAAGCAAAAAAAAAAAAAAATCCTTTCAATATTCAGTTAGGAACTGATAATTTCCCGGTTAATACTTAGATTTTCAAGGTTCCTAACCCTACACTAAGCCGACTTAATCAACTACAAAATTTATTATTATTATTATTATAAATGTTTATATGCGCAAAATATTAATTACAATTTTATTTTATTTTCTAGAGATGTGTGGACAATTACTACATAAAACCAAAACGTTTAAAAAAATTAAAACATTGTTTAGGATGTTCTTCAAGTGTCTTATGGAGTCTTAGATCTCAAGCAGCTGCAATCTTGAAATGTTTTTCACTGGAACTGTAAGTTTAAAAAATATTTATATCTTATCAATTAAATATCTTATTATTTCAGAACAAATTTTGTATTTACACACCTAGGTATTTAAGTAATAAAACTTACAACACACACCTAGATAAACTAAAAGTCCCAATAAATAGTATTATTACATTTTTATTGAGCAAACCCAAATCTTATAGTACAAAGTTTATTTTTAATGAACTATTCTATTGTCTTAATTTTAATGCATTGTATTCTTATTTGCAAATAAATAAATTATTATTATTATTATAACAAGTGATCTATTATCATTGATTATAAATATTAAATACTATAGCACAATGTCTCTACATCTTCTTTAAGATATCTTCTGAGAGAGAAGGTATCTTCTCTACATCATGTACTATAGATTGCTCACAGTATTTATAATCAATGCAATTATCTATAAACCAATTATAAGTTAAGATAATAATAAGTTTTGATGGGTCTCTGTTTTTTTTTTCTTAACCAATCCTAATTTTTTTTAAATATTTAAATTCATAATTCTCATTAAATTCTACTAACATTTGATATTAATTTAGAAATTTTATATCTTATATTAAATACCATAGTAAGTGTATATAGAAAAATACCTATTTGTATATGGGACAAGAACTAACAAAAAGTAGTAGTTAAAGTACTTGGAATCATATGTTAACAACAGAACCATAACTTTCCTGCAAATGTATCCATTGAAACATTAATTCAAATATGTAGAAACTTAAATAAAAACCTCAAGGCATATAGGAAAAAAATTTTATTTTTTATTTTTTTTCAGTTTTAAATTAAAACTTTTGTTTTTAAATGTTATATTTGTGCATTTATAGTTAGTATTTATGTTATATGTCATATTATATGCATTTACCTTTTCTATTTATAAACTTTTTTGTATTGATACAAACTTTAATTATAAATATTTGTACATTTTGAATAACAATAATCTAATGTATTTAGGTATACGGAATATAAAAATATTTATAATATAAGATTTAAAATAATAAAATACATCCGTCATCCAATATTAATATTTTTAAGTTGATTATTTTGTTCAATTTTAAAATGTATGTAATACTATGATTTATTAATGATTTTAGCGGTACCAGGCTTTTGTTAAATGGTGAAGAATCTGTAAGCACACAACATTTACGTGAATTCATAATAAATTCAGCCATATGTAATGAAAACTTTACTCAAGAAGCTATTAATCAAATTAGAGTCTTCAATTTAAGTGATTTATTAAATTCGAAAATTGGAGCATTGTTAAATGGATATCAAAACTTACAAACAAAAAATATTGAACAACACCTAATTAGCTTTAGTGAATTATGTGAAAAAATATTAGTTAACACCTGTTCACTTTTATCAGATTCTCAATATTTGTTCAACGATAAAATTATTGAATCATTAAATAAAACAATTAAATCATTATTTATTAATGGTATATTGTTTAAAACAACTGAAAATGGATCAAATATATTCTCTGGAGATTCCCATAATACTGAAAATTTAGGTGAGCACGCAACAAATAAATTACATAAAAAATGCAGTGTTTCATTAGAAAAGCTGGACACAAATATTGAAAACCAACTTTTTTTAAAGAAGGTAAATATGAATTTGCAAATTTAACTTATGTCTGAAATTTCAATAATTATTGAGTTTTTTTTTGGATGATAAAAATTGATTTAATATTTTTAGTATTATCATTGATTATTTTTATGTACTATTATTTATTACTAAGTATTATTTTAAATTTTTTTGAAGTTTTAACATTTTCAGGAATATAATGAATCCATTAGTAAACATACTTATAAAGGTCCATTAAATTTTAAAAATAAGTTAGTTGAAAAACGAAGCAATCAACAGGAAAATAATTTAAATCTCACATGTCCCATAAATTCAAATTATGAATCTCAAATTTCACTAAAAGATCTAAAACAGTGTACAGTACAACTGGTACGATTTGATGAACAAATTATAAAACACTGTGTTGGGCAGACGTCTAAAGATAAGGTAACTAAATGTATTTTTACAAAAGATTTAGTCACATGAATTTAGTCTGCAAATTACAGAAATATGATGCTTATTTTAAATTTTTTAGATGGATAGTCAAGCAGTTAGCCATGCATGTAACACAAAAGATACTAGTAAAACAATCAATTTGTCTAATAATATGATATGTTGGAATCCTGTAGTAAAATTAGAAAGATTTGATGTGGGCATTAATAATTCTGTTAAAAAAAAATCTGCTAATAAGGTAATATAAATTACTATTGTATAAAGTTATTAAATAGATAAGTGTAATTATTGTAACATTTTCCTAATCATTTATTGATAATTGATTACAAATATTTTTAGTCTGACAGTAAAGCAGTCAACAACAACATTGAGCATAATCAAGAAATATATACTGTGAAAAAAATTAAATTGTCTTCTCAGGAAAAAAACCTTGAAATTATTAATCCCAAAGAGGGTATTATATTAGAAACATTAGATATGGATATTATAGAAAATATTAATCACAACAATATACAGGTAATAACAATTTTATTTAACAATTTGTCTGATAATCACATTTCAGGAATTTGCTTTGCTTAATAATTGTTTAATTAATTTCCCATTTTTATGTTTTTTTTAGACAACCGAGGATAAAACTGAAAACAAAACCAAAACAAAAATGGGGATCATAAAAATAAAATGTCACAAAAAACTTTCACTCTTCAAAACACAAAAAAAAAATAAAAGAACTAAACTCAAAAATATTAAAAACTAGAATTTTTCATTTTAAAAATTAAAACATTTAACCTATTGCAGGGGTGGCAAACCTTTTTCTGCTAGGAAATATTGTAAACAATGTTTTAAGAACATTTTACTTGTCAGTAATATTATGTTAAAAGGTACCAATAAAAAATATGTTGTGATGATCAAGAATTACAAACATACAGTCCTGAATTTGTCCGGCGAGCTACCGAGTAGAACTCGGTGGGCAGCGTACGAATTGGGACAGATAAAAAAATTTGAATACCCCGAACTCTGAAATATGAATAATAATAAATTATAAATATAATGTGTTACTAAAAATTGGCTCGTCAACTTTTTTGGCTTGCCTATCCGCTGCTGCAAACATAGGACATCAACATTTTTATAAGACAACTGAACTTCCTACTCATTACATCATATTTATTTTTTTTCTGTGTTCCTATTCATCATATGATATTCTGTTAATATTGGGCATGTATTTTGGTAGTTTTAATGAAAAACAAACATCAATAGCCAATAGATTCATTCATCAATGTATTCCTCTATTTTGATTTGATGCATTCATCATAAAAAAATAGGCTTTTACACTGAATGGATGTAAAATGTACCTTTATGTACAAAATATGAGAAGTGTGTTCTAAACTTTCAACATTTTATATTAAATACCTACCTACCCAACTATATATTATGCAGAAATAATAAGAATGGTTTTAACTATCGTTTTTGATTAAATGTAAGATTTAACAATCAAATAAAAATATTCTTGTGTGCCATTGAGGGGATTCCACACTACCGTGTTTGGGAGAAAAATACGCCTATACGTATTCCAACGTATTAACTAGAGTTTTACACTGATAATAATAGTTTTGAAAACATATTATCTTAATTTATTATGAAGTTTATCTTGAATCCTCGACAGAAAGCTGAAGTGTTACGCACTCAAGTGCATGTGCTATGTTAAAATTGTAATTAATTTGTCTAATTATTAGTCAATGTTGAAACTTACATACCACATTTTTTATTTCTTAAATTTAAAAAATAAACAAAAAATCCTTTAAAATTAAAAAAAAAAATCATATTTTTTAAAAATTTGAATGGAAAAAAATACAGTTTTAAAAATTTTTTTTATAGTTTTAACTTGTAGGATTGAAAATAGACTGAAAAATAAATATAAATTTGTTTTCAAAATGATTACCAGAGTACAATTCAAGTTAGTATAATTGAACGCATATAGGTCATTATGCTCCAAAAAACAGTAGTGTGGAATCCCTATGAAATTTATAAAACAAGTGTCATAGCCCATAGGTTCGCCACTCTTGAACAAATGTTTAAATTAATGATGAGATGATATATATCAGTGTTTTTAAATTGAAACTTGATAGACACATTGGGCTCAGTTAAGTTCACCATGTTATCACTCTGAAAAATACTCATGTAACTCATATATTTTAACTTAATTTTCAGAATCAAATAGTAATTTATAAATTATAAATTAAAATCTTATACTATAAAAAAATGTTGTTAAAGTTTTGGAACTATGTTACTGTTTAATACACATTTTAGTGAAATTAAATATTTTGATTCAATAGTATAAAACATGTGCCAATTATTATTAAGTTATGTTATGTTATGCATAGTTGCCAATTATTTTTCATATATTATTAGTTCTTATTGTTCTTCTTTGTAACAGATTAAATAAAAAAAATATAAATAAAAAAAAAGATACACATATATATATATTATTATTTATTATGAATTTATTAACTATACTCCAAATTACTCATTGCAAATGGATACATGTTTAAATTATATAAATATATTGATGTTTTGGTCATTATGTCTTGTGTTAATTTATATATTATTCAATGATTATTTGAATATATTATATTTTTATGGAAAAAAATTAAATGGGTTCATCATTGGTAGATATTATTTAAAATGATGAATGGGGCTAGGATTGCAATGACCTAAAAACCTAAAAAATACCTTAAAATAACCTAAAAATTATCTAAAAATGTTTAAAAAAATGTCTAGTAAATATCAATAAATTATTAATTACTATTTCGTACAGAATTATTTAAAACAGTAATATTACGCAAAAATGAAATACATTATTTTAAATTGATGATGTTAATAGGTACTGCTATCCTGTTTAATGTTTGAAATGGTCCGAAACTAATAAAATAAAAAATTTATAAAAATTTTTTCATTCTACAAATAAGCTTTAAATGTAATGATATTGAATTTCGATATTATTTCTGTTTAGTATTTGAAAATTTCATGAAATTTAAAAAAATTAAATATTTCAGTTTTTTAATAAATTTTGTTTTATTTTTGAATAAGTCATATATTTACATATAATTGTCATAAATTACCTTCTTAATTGTATGGTACTTATATCTATATGTATACCTAACCCAGAGGTTCCCAACCTTTTTTAACTCGCGGCACCCTTGGACATTTTCTAAAAATCCGAAGGCACCCTATGCTCTATAGTCTATAGAGTATAGAGTATAGAGTACTTCGGTTCTATTTATTAGTGCATAAGTATAATCAAAAGTAGTAAGGTTTTAGGTGCATAGTATATACATATTACATTTTATAAACAAATTATTACATTGTATTTATTTTTAATGAAATTGTTTTTTCTAAAAAAATATTTCAAATAATTTCGTGGCACGATAAAAAACTTTCGCGGCACCCTGGTTGGGAATCTCTGACCTAACCTTTGGTATTATACATTTAAAATGGTATTCAAAATTTTTTAATATTTTAATGTTTGAATAATACAAGTAGGTATACAATATTATACATGTATCTATATTGTAATTGTATACGTACTGAATTCTTAAATTAGAATTTAGAACACTGAACACTGTGTTGAAAAAATAAATAAATTGTGTTTTTATTTGTGTTAAAAAATTTTCAATGTTTCACGTTTTTGTGAAATATTTCATACTTTAAACACTAGCTATATACAACTTGCATTGTACCTAATTCATAGATATATAAAGGTACACTACTTACATTTTATAAATAAGCCCATGGTGGCATGGTCCATGACTGTTTTTTAATAAATAAATAATTATTATGTATAACTTGAAACTTCTACTTTATTATTACATTTTGGCATTTTGCAATGCTATAAATTATAAAAGTAGATTACAGTGTCAGGCCTGGTACTTAAAGGGTCCCCAAAAATGTTATTTAACAAATTATAAAAAAAGTGATAATTAACAGGTATAGGTAGTGCAAAATAATATATTTTTTTAAAGGTACCTTATTTAAAATACATATTTAAGTTAACTACATAGTTATAGTAATAATTTTTAATGCTAAAAAATCATATAAATAATACCGTAAAATATTATACAACTTGATATTTTTAAATGCGATTCAAGTTGTGTAATTGATTTTGTTTATATCAGTAATTTTTGTTAGAATGATAATACTATAATAGTATTATAATTGTTAATGATATAATATTTAATAATATTCAATATCCAATATTCATAGTAATATAGTGGTCCCTCGACAATAATATATGGGAGCATTGGGAGCGTTAGTGGTCTAGTGGCTATGGCCAGACCGACACTGAGTAGATATTTCCAGGGCCAAATTTGCGCACATGCAGCACTCATAGGTCACACTTTCCTTTTTGGAACTCCCCTCCCTCCTCGAGGGCCCACGCCGCCCACCAGGGGCGTCATTTCAGGTTTTTTTTCGGGTGTGCAAGGTTTCAAGCAGGCCATTTTGAAATTTCACTAGGCCATATAAAAATAGATATACATACGTATATATGTACATTATCCGGTTTTCAATTATTTCCATTATCATTATACATTATGAGTAAGGACCGAATCATTCGGAATCATTGCGTCAAAATAAATAGTAAATATCAATTTATTAAGAAACTAAAATATAATAAATAATGAATTACCTTAACAGTGAAAAGTGAAAACCAATAATAATTGATTCATAAAAAGCTAGAAGAATTAATGCAGCAGCAAATAAAAAAAGGACTTAATATCTACATTAATAAATTGTCGTTTATTTTCATAATTATTATAATTTTGGAAAAAACAAAGAGCTAGAAAAAAAATATTTTAAATTTAAAGAAGCGGATATCGTCGATTTTTTAGTTTAGTGAATTTATCTACAGCTTCTTCTAAATTTATATTGTTAACTTTTTTTTCAACATTAAGTACCATCTAATCACTTAGCCTTTCATCACCCATGGTAATGCGTAAATATGACTTAACTCTTTTAAATAATGAAAAAAACCTTTTATTTGATGCCTTTGTAAATTGTAATTGGTAAAGTTTTTACCAATGAAATAATTTTTAAAGTTTCAACAAAAGCGATAGGACAATCTTTTAGGCATATTGATATGGTGTCCAAATCAACATCATGTTTCTCATTAAATAGTGCTTTTACTGGTGGAAACTCAGAAGAAATTTGAATTTCATTAAAGTTAAAATAACTATAATGGTTTATAAATAGTTTTAAATAAAGGCTATCTGGATTAAAAAAATTGGGACTAGAAAGGTAAAAAATTTCAAATAACTTAAACAAGTTATTGGTTGGTTCTGATAATCTTTCATTAAGTTGTCAATATAAAAATTAAAATACAATTTAATTTTAATCATATTAATAATTGTGCATTCGTGGCTCGTGCATTATTTTAGGCTTCAGCGGGGCGCAGGCCAATTGGAACCATTTTAAAATTAAGGGGTGCTACCACACACCCTGACCCCCCTCAAATGACGCCCCTGCCGCCCACACCACATGATGAGCCTAGGGGCTTAAAAATCCTAAATATGTCCCTGCATATTTCGTCCATATATTATGACAAAATTATCCGTCCTAAACTGGCCACTGTCTTCACTTTAAGACTCAAAAATTGTATTTTCTTTCAAAACTGTAATGATTTAATTTCTTAATCTAATTCAACCATCTTAATTAATACTAAAGATGCGCATTGATGGCTGGGGCTGGAGGGTTTGTCAAATAGACACTTTCTTTGGTCGGCAAATTTTGAAGGTGGCAAACTGGTGGTCTGCTATAGCATTTTAAAATGAAAGTTATCACAATGGTCTATAGGCACCTAATAACAACACGTCAACACTGGCCGTGCAGGAAAATCGCGATTGAACGGGTAAAAGTTTTGAGATGTCGGAAGGGGGAAATATCGGTGTTCGGCCTCGGTCGGATGCGATCGGCTCGGCGCTCAATCGAACACGGGTCAAGGGACGCGGCGGCGGCGGCGGCCGACGTCTACCGCCACCGAGCTCGTGTGCGCGGCCTGTTGTGGCTTGTGAGCGCGTGGCCGTCGTCCGGACCGTTTCACTGTTGGTGCAGTACATGTGTGCATTGAAGTAACAGCGTTCTTGTATATAGTTAGAGGAAAAAGGGTTATTTCTTTAGTTTTTTTAGTAATTTTTGTGGTAGAAGTGCCACCCACCGAGTGTAGTCGTCCAGACAGAACGAGATTTTCGGACGCGCCTAGACCTGCCTAGCAACCGTCGTACACACCCTCCACATACATTTTCGAGAATTTTCAGCAGGTGGCGATTTTCCAGTTCACTACCTTCGTATTTTCCATTTGACATGGCCACCACATCCGCCGCGTGGATGACGTCTTCAACTGGCCAAAGTGAGTGCTACAGCTTTTCTTACGTTTTTCTATATACATTTTTAAGTTTATTATTTGTGTGGGTTTAGTGTAGTTTTGTGTATACTGTATATAAAATAATATTAATATACACTGTACCATAAACATAATGTAGCCATGTAGGTAATATATATAATATACATAATATAATTATTTAATATTTAATATTCGTATAACACTTTTATTATAATTAATTTTGCATAGTAGAATGCAGATACGTTATAAATCCATATGTATGGGTACTACCTACTTAACGCTATAAATGCGAAAGTAACTCTGTTTGTCTCTTACGTTTTCACGGCTAAATGGATGAATGATTTTGATGAAATTTGGTATGGAGAAAACTGGAACCATAAGAAAGGATACGCATTTAAAAAAAAAAATAATATTGTGTGTATCGTATAAGAAAGGTTCTTTTATAAATTCAATCTGAGAGAGGGTGGAAGGGGGTGGCATAGTCGATATGGGAAATAATTTTTTTATAGTCAAATTTACTTGAAACTTGTTATTAATACTCTTTGAGTTTTGGACACAATCAATGAAACAGCATTTTTCAAAATTTCAACCCTAAAAGGGTGGTTTAGTTTTAGTTTTTAGTGATCATTTTTGCTATGAATATTATTTTTCAAACCATTAATATGTTAAGTTACCAAAGTTGTTTCTTTTAATTTACAAAAATTCTGTTAATTGAGTAGTTGTTTGACGTAAAGTTGTTTCTTTGTTTCTATAACCACTTTTTCATAATTTTTTTGAAGTTGTATTATCTTTTTGAGTATTATTTAATTTACGACATTCCTCGTAAAGCTATATCTGTTTTAGCGTGTAGCTCTTTGAGATCTTGAACTGTGAGAAATAGTTGAATGGGTTTGAGTGGGAGGAAAAAATAGTTGGTCTGGTGGTAAAATATCCATTCCATTACTGGTGATTCAGAGAAATCCCTAGAAACTCTACTTCTGTACAAATGTAGTGAGTCGAGATATTATTTTAAATTAACTTGGAAAATTCAATTTCATGGTTTCAGATGACATCGTTTAATTTAAACACAGAAGTCGCAATGTAATTTTTCACATACTTTTACGATAGGTACTAGGTCAAATTTAGCATAAAATTAACTCTACTTTCTTTACTTCATCAGATAAATATCAGTATAAGAATTTACTAAAGATATACTTCGTGGGGGTTGTTTTTTCAAAGGAAAGAAAATACCAAAATGTTGTTTATGGAGCTGAGTTGAGTTAAGATCTTGCAATACTTACATACCTAATTAAGAAAAAAGAAAAAGAAAAATTGTAGTTTTTATTTTTTTTTTAACTAAGGTTTGGCATGTAGAAAAGCAATAGACACACATTCATTCTGACATTTTGTACATTGTGCCTAAGTAGGTACTACTTATATTTATACATATATATATACACCACTATATAGTATATAGTGTAAATTATAAACACATACTACTTTTATTTCTACCTTACTTACCCGTCATCACTTATCATAACAAAACTACTGAAATGAGCGAAGCCGCGAATCAATAAAATAAAATACAATATATATTTACGATGCATATTGCGTAGTAATTAAAATAGCAATGAAAATAATTAACAAATTTCAATTTTAATGTTCATTATTAGTCATGGGTAATAGAAATTAGAAATTATATTATTTAATTTCAATCGTTATAATTGTGACAGTAAAGTACAATTATTCGGTTTCTTTAGAGGTTTTTTTACATTGTCAATAGACAATAATATAATCATTTGCATTTAGAATTATATATGTATACTTATTTTGGTTTTTCATTTTTGTACTTTGTACGCTGCAGTGGTATACTGGTATAATATATACGTAGGCTGTTGGCACCTATGACATAAAACTTTTTGAAATAAGGTGTCAGTTAATAAATTGCTTTGATTCTATTGTGAATTCCTACTGAAACCAGGGGAAGGAACATAATATAATGCAATAACTCGTTACTCGTTCGTTATTTGTAATACGGACTGGTAACTTGGCTACCGCTCCGATTATTAAATGTATTATAATTTATATTATACTTTTCTTCTGTCTCGATTAGTGTGCTGCCGGTGGTGGCATGTGTACATACACATAATGGTCTTCTATTGAAATTATGTTTAAAGAAAACGCAAGATATAATTTATTAAATTAAAATAATTTTTGTTATGATTCTAATTTATGACTTGGCTCAATGAAATAAATTATTAAATAATAACCTTACATTTGGCGCATCAAATTTGCTTAATGCAATCGCACTAGTATTTAAAAAAAACTCACTTGCTTCATAGTCCTTACATGGTTATTTTTCGGAGGAGAGTTCTTAGTAAATGAAGCCATAAGGACAAAAATTTCGCAAACGGCTCCGATTATTAAATAGCTACATGGATAGGTATCTTATACGATATACCAACCACACCTTACGGCTTACACGTGGTTGGCGAAGGTTTCCTCGTCAATTCAAAAGATTGGAAAGCTAAAATACACTTATTTGTAAATGATCGATACTCTTTATTGTAATATAACGTTTTAAAAAATAATAAATTTTACTTCACTCTTATTCAGTAATTTTATCATCAATAAAATACAATAACATGTCATATCTGACTTCTTCTTTACTTTCTAAAGAATAAAAGACACCAAGCTCAATGGCTTGTTGGGAAATAAGAATGGTTTTATTTTACATGAAGGTACCTATAATAAATTTAAAGAAAATAATTAGCAAATCATTTTTGTTTTTAATATCAAAACGAAATAGAATATATTTTATAAATAGGTACTATGATTTTAAACATATACCTACCACCTAGGGTATTTAATTTGGTTAAAAGATAATAATTTTCTTTCTTCAATTTTCTGTAAAGTCGTAGAGTACCTATTTAATTATTTGAGGTTTAGGTAGGTACTTATAAAAAATTTAATAATTATATGGTTTTGTAGTAGGTATACATATAAAACACGTACCTATTCACTGCAACATATTATAGACTATCAGTTCATTTACTATTGGCCTCGATTTTTAAATTTCAAGCGTTACCTATCGGTCGTATTATTATTGTTTGAGATATTATAGTAGGTAGGTACACGACTTCACCTACAGGTTATTATTTGATGGTTATTACCTCATGGAAGTGATTTATGAATAACACAACTTGTATATTCATTAAGTTAGATTAGCTATTATTACGTATAATGTACAGCAGAAACTACCTATAAAATAATATTTTATTCACATTTGTTAAAATTTAATTGATTTTAATACTTATCAATAACTTTATTGGCAGTATCGTACTTAGATATTTTTTTTTGCAAGGCATCTAAATCACTTAAAAACTAATTTGTGTTCTTAATAACTTAACATTCATTTTTTAGTACATATATCTAGACTATAGTGCAATATAATAATATAAACATTGATATTCGATGTATAATAATGTACCTACCTATATTTAGAAGCCAGGTTTCAAATTTTACGCAATTCTATAAAATTGTATATTTTAGCTGCACCTTATTTATAATACTTTTTTACTAATCTACTTCCTGATACCTCTTGGGGGGGGGGGGGTCGATAGGGTGAATTATATTGAAACAAATTACTTCTTACTTCACTGGAATAATTCTCAGGCCTTGTAGATATAATTGTCGGATTTTGATAACTATTTTATCATCTAAAAGAAGAAGACTTACTACATCGAACTCCAATTTTTTGTTTTATTTCAAATAATGGTATCTATAATATAATTTGTAAAAAAAGGCTTAAAATGTTATTATTTTTGAAAATATATTGTAATGTTTAGATTAAAATATTGAAAAACGGAGTTCGATGTGACCTGTAGAATATTACCTTATATTACATTTGTACCGGAACCTTAATATGTTTGTTGAGTATAGTTTACCTAAATATTATTTAGGTATTTAAGTATATAAAATCCAAATACTAATAGCAATTTCCCTAAAAAGGCAAAACGTATGAACTTGACATTTTGAATATAGTGGTTCCGTCAATTCTGTATGTGTAGATGATCAATCAGAAGGGATTTTGAAAAAATCGTATTTAAAGATCGATCTACATATACCTACAATCTACATACAATTCATTCAAAGCTAACTATTGATAACTATTACATTTTTAGTACAAATATTAATTATTATAATTACCGTTACAATTCAGCACTGTCGTCGGTTATGCAAATGCAATATTGTAAAATATACTGTGCACAGATTTTTATTTATAAAGATATTTCTGAAACATTGATCAGTATATTTAGAGGAAAGAATATAAAGTATAAACTGTATTCGGGACGTCGGAAATTAAAGTCCCGAAGACCAATCGGCCGGAAATGTGGGATTTTATGACCTTCGTAATTTCCGATTCGGAATTGCCAGATTAAATTTTGTTTGTCTTGCATCCTATGTGTATAATATTTATTGATCTCATACAATAGTATTTTAATTTAAACCAAAACCAAATTTAAGAAAGAAACGAACCTCTTAACTTGGAACAATGACGTATCTATTATATGGCTTTTGAAATATTCCAATTCCGTGTATAATATAGATAGGTACATAATATAACATATGTTTATAAATCCATCGCACAATATATTATAATATAGATATCTACATGATATTATATTATCTAGTAAATATATAATTGTCGTGCACGAGCGCAGCTGCATCGACCGTTATACAACTTTAGTTAATGTGCAATTTACATTGTATACTGCATTCTAAAGTGCACATGGTTTTGTTTTATTCATTTATCGTGCGTGTAACAATGTGGATCATTGTTTCTGCGAGATGACCGGATACCACGATAGCACGAGCATGGGACACGTTTAATTTTTCTGATTTGGTTTCTATGACAAAACTAATGTTTCAGGATTCGTAAAATGTATAATATAATATATTAATATACATTCATCATATTACGCATTAATATATATTAAGTACTATAAGTAGGAACACTCACGCAT